GAGTGTATGAGTAAGTGGGTGAGTGGGTGAGTTTATAGGTGAGTGTATGGGTGAGTGGGTGAGTGAGTGGGTGAGTTTATAGGTAAGTGAGTGAGTGAGTGTATGAGTGTAGGAGTGAGTGTATGGGTGAGTGGGTGAGTGAGTGAGTTTATAGGTAAGTGTATGAGTGTGTTAGTGTATGGGTGAGTGGGTGAGTGGGTGAGTTTATAGGTAAGTGAGTGAGTGTATGAGTGGGTGAGTGAGTGAGTGTATAGGTAAGTATATGAGTGAGTGAGTGTATGAGTGTATGAGTGAGTGAGTGTATGAGTGTATGAGTGAGTGAGTGTATGGGTGAGTGGGTGAGTGTGTGAGTGTATAGGTAAGTGTATGAGTGAGTGAGTGTATGAGTGTATGAGTGAGTGAGTGTATAGGTAAGTGTATGAGTGAGTGTGTGAGTGTATAGGTGAGTGTATTGGTGAGTGAGTGAGTGAGTTTATAGGTAAGTGTATGAGTGTGTGAGTGTATAGGTGAGTGTATTGGTGAGTGAGTGAGTGAGTTTATAGGTAAGTGTATGAGTGAGTGAGTGTATGAGTGTATGAGTGAGTGAGTGTATAGGTAAGTGTATGAGTGAGTGAGTGTATGAGTGTATGAGTGAGTGAGTGTATAGGTAAGTGTATGAGTGAGTGAGTGTATAGGTAAGTGTATGAGTGAGTGAGTGTATAGGTAAGTGTATGAGTGAGTGAGTGTATGAGTGTATGAGTGAGTGAGTGTATAGGTAAGTGTATGAGTGAGTGAGTGTATGAGTGTATGAGTGAGTGAGTGTATAGGTAAGTGTATGAGTGAGTGAGTGTATGAGTGTATGAGTGAGTGTATAGGTAAGTGTATGAGTGAGTGAGTGTATGAGTGTATGAGTGAGTGTATAGGTAAGTGGGTGAGTGAGTGAGTGTATAGGTAAGTGTATGAGTGAGTGAGTGTATGAGTGTATGAGTGAGTGAGTGTATAGGTAAGTGTATGAGTGAGTGAGTGTATAGGTAAGTGTATGAGTGAGTGAGTGTATGAGTGTATGAGTGAGTGAGTGTATAGGTAAGTGTATGAGTGAGTGAGTGTATGAGTGTATGAGTGAGTGAGTGTATGAGTGTATGAGTGAGTGAGTGTATGAGTGTATGAGTGAGTGAGTGTATGAGTGAGTGAGTGTATGAGTGTATGAGTGAGTGAGTGTATGAGTGTATGAGTGAGTGAGTGTATGAGTGTATGAGTGAGTGAGTGTATAGGTAAGTGTATGAGTGAGTGAGTTTGCTCACTGACTGCTGCTGCTGCTGTCAGGCGCCAGTTGTTTCTCATTAGAGGCCGAGCTGCCACCACGCTTAGCCCCTCCACGTGTGATTGCGTGTGTGTGGTGTGTGTGTCTGTGTGTGTGTCTGTCTGTGTGTCTGTGTGTCTGTGTATGTGTCTGTGTGGTGTGTGTGTCTGTGTGTGTGTGTGTCTGTGTGTGTGTGTGTGTCTGTGTGTGTGTGTCTGTGTGTGTGTGTGTCTGTATGTGTGTGTCTGTGTGTGTGTGTCTGTGTGTCTGTGTATGTGTCTGTGAGGTGTGTGTGTCTGTATGTGTGTGTCTCTGTGTGTGTGTCTGTGTGTGTCTGTGTGTGTGTCTGTGTGTGTGTGTGTCTGAGTGTGTGTGAGTCTGTGTGACTGTGTGTCTGTGTGTGTGTCTGTGTGTGGTGTGTGTGTCTGTGTGTGTGTCTGTGTGTGTGTGTGTCTGTGTGTGTGTCTGTGTGTGTGTGTCTGTGTGTGTGTGTCTGTGTGTCTGTGTGTGTGTGTCTGTGTGTGTCTGTGTGTGTGTGTCTGTGTGTGTGTCTGTGTGTGTGTGTGTCTGTGTGTTTGTGTGTCTGTGTGTGTGTGTCTGTCTGTGTGTGTGTCTGTGTGTGTGTGTCTGTGTGTGTGTGTGTGTCTGTGTGTGTGTCTGTGTGTGTGTGTGTCTGTGTCTGTGTGTGTGTCTGTGTGTGTGTCTGTGTGTGTGTGTCTGTGTGTGTGTGTGTCTGTGTGTCTGTGTGTCTGTATGTGTGTGTCTGTGTGTTTGTCTGTGTGTCTGTGTGTCTGTATGTGTGTGTGTCTGTGTGTGTGTGTCTGTCTGTGTGTGTGTCTGTGTGTGTGTGTCTGTGTGTGTGTGTGTCTGTGTGTCTGTGTGTCTGTATGTGTGTGTCTGTGTGTTTGTCTGTGTGTCTGTGTGTCTGTATGTGTGTGTGTCTGTGTGTGTGTGTCTGTCTGTGTGTGTGTCTGTGTGTGTGTGTCTGTGTGTGTGTGTGTCTGTGTGTCTGTGTGTCTGTATGTGTGTGTCTGTGTGTTTGTCTGTGTGTCTGTGTGTCTGTATGTGTGTGTGTCTGTGTGTGTGTGTCTGTGTGTGTGTGTCTGTGTGTGTGTGTCTGTGTGTGTGTGTCTGTGTGTGTGTGTCTGTGTGTGTGTGTCTGTGTGTGTGTGTCTGTGTGTGTGTGTCTGTGTGTGTGTGTCTGTCTGTGTGTCTGTATGTGTGTGTCTGTGTGTGTGGTGTGTGTGTCTGTGTGTTTGTCTGTGTGTCTGTGTGTCTGTATGTGTGTGTGTCTGTGTGTGTGTGTCTGTGTGTGTGTGTCTGTGTGTCTGTGT